CACTCTTAGCACTGCACTGCTTTCTCAGGTGTTTTAACAGCGTTATATACAGCCGTAGTGCCTGAATGCCATTTTCGTCGCGTGTCTAACTGCGCTTTTCTTTTCCTTTCTTGCTTTTTGAGGTTACTGAACTTATTGCTTAGCATACGATTTTTGGGTTACAGTGAAGATGCCAGTCCAAAAACGTTCTCACCGGAACCAGCAGCAAACTTAACAATTCCACCACCGGCGCCTGGCAAGAGTTACCGGGACGTAGCATCCAAGAAAGAGCGCCTGACACCAAATTCATCAAATGCATCAGATTCGCCAGTGCAGCCGCGCCAGAATTTATCAGGTACTTCAGCAGAGTGGTTCTCAACATTCGTGCGAATTTTCGAGTTAGATGGACCGTGTCTACGTTTCCACTGTCATTGCGTTCACGGAGTGACGTTTGGGTGTGAAACATACCGAAAGCAGAAGGACGAATGTTTGCTATGGTGGGGGAGGGGGAGGGGAAGATGCTTGGGGTGTTTGTTTGTGACTATGGAGAAGCCTCTTTTCAAGGGTTACTTACATGAATCGGCTGATGACGGGTTTGACTCCCTGGCATATGCTAATACCAATTTACCATTGAAACAAATGAAGGAACCGTAGAGAAAGTAGAAATAGTTTTGCCCTTTTTTCTGAAAATAGAGTCGAAATAATTGTTTTTTTTTTTGGCTTGAATAGTGATATAAGATTTACAGTGCACAATTCTGGAATTGTGATGCACTTTGAACAGACGATGTATACTAATTTCGGGATCTGAAAACCTGGTGGAGTTGTGTCCCACGTGTGAGAGCATTCCAATAATAACGCTAACTTGAAAACCCCACCCCTTTCATCCAGGCAGGCCCCATCTTACAGTATTGCGAATAAAAACAGTGGCCGGCAATATAGGTTATCAAAATATTTTATCATTTGGGCTCTGAGAAGGAAATTTTTAGAATTCCGCGAATCCAGCCGTCGAGGTTAAACTCAGTTTCTTTTGTCTGTTTGAAGAAAGAAACTTTTCCAAAAGGCATTTATAGTGTTTGTCAGTACTGGTCTTCACAGATCACTCAGTTTTTTTTTTTATTTCGGTTGAGGAATTCACCGGCACACGCTGCGTGCAGTATTATTCATTTAAAATGCTTCCCAGCAATATTTTATCATCTGCTGATCAGGGCAGTATATTAATGTATACCATTTTAATTCGTTTTATGCTTGCCGCATTCAAGTATTCCCACGGTTCTGTTCAGGCTGATTCTTATGTATCTCACTGAAACCCTGGTATCAGATACATTGAATACATTGCGTTATGCATGAAATACAGGAGAAAAAGATGCTGGACGTGGGACAACGATGAGTATAAAACGCCTAACATCAGCAAATCGCATTAACGCTGGTAGCCGTACAAATAATAAAATGAACACATCGGCGGGCAGTGGTGAACATGATGAGGAAAATTCAGGACGCAAGGAAAATATCCACATAGCTAAAGGTTTTTTTTTTTGTCTTCTGAGACCTCGATTTTCACCAGATTTTTTGATATGCCTGTAATCCGAACGATTTTTTGTGCTTTTTGCATTGCACAGTTGTATAAAACGCATATTGTCGATCGAGGCCTCGTGCGTCTGTGTGTGTGTGTATGTGTGTTCGTGTGTGTGTGTGTATGTGTGTGCGCGCGCCTTATCCCGGGGTTTCGACTTGAGAATCAGCGGAGATAGGAGGCTGAAATTGTAAGGAGAGCCTCCGTACCGGCGTGTGATCTCGCAAATTTAGATTCAGCGACCGCGTGTTCCAGGCTTTCAGGAACGGCTGCGTGAAAGATTTGACGCCAAAATTAATTCGAGAGCCACAAAAATTTCCGTACATAGCAAACAGTAATGCAGAGAACAGTTTCAACAGCAAAGTTTCCTTGGACAAGCGTTCGCTGGACAGGTTTGCACAGAACCCGTGATCGCATCTGCTACCCTGGCTCACGCCTATACTCTAGTTTTAATATGAATTACAGATATTATTTAGTTTTGTTTAGTTTCATTTCTTGGCACAGTACTTTTATAATTGCTTTTTTATGC